TGGCCATGGCAGTTCCTCTTCTGCCCACCCTTCGGCCCAGGTATGGCCATGGCAGTTCCTCTTCTGCCAACCCTTTGGCCCAGGCTTGGCCATGGCGGTTCCTCTTCTGCCAACCCTTTGGCCCAGGCTTGGCCATGGCGGTTCCTCTTCTGCCAACCCTTTGGCCCAGGCTTGGCCATGGCGGTTCCTCTTCTGCCAACCCTTTGGCCCAGGCTTGGCCATGGCGGTTCCTCTTCTGCCAACCCTTTGGCCCAGGCTTGGCCATGGCGGTTCCTCTTCTGCCAACCCTTTGGCCCAGGCTTGGCCATGGCGGTTCCTCTTCTGCCAACCCTTTGGCCCAGGCTTGGCCATGGCGGTTCCTCTTCTGCCAACCCTTTGGCCCAGGCTTGGCCATGGCGGTTCCTCTTCTGCCAACCCTTTGGCCCAGGCTTGGCCATGGCGGTTCCTCTTCTGCCAACCCTTTGGCCCAGGCTTGGCCATGGCGGTTCCTCTTCTGCCAACCCTTTGGCCCAGGCTTGGCCATGGCGGTTCCTCTTCTGCCAACCCTTTGGCCCAGGCCTGGCCATGGTGGTTCCTCTTCTGCCAACCACTCGGCCTGGACCCAGCCAAGGCGGTTCCTTATCTGCCAACCCTTCAGCCCAGGCCTGGCTATGACGGTTCTTCTTCTGCCAACTCTTCGGCCTGCACCCGGCCATGGCAGTTTCTCATTTACTAACTCCTCGGCCCAGGCCTGGCCATGTTGGTTCCCCCTTGCCGACCCCTCGGCCTTGGCCCGGCCATGTTGGCCACCCAGTCAGATTGTGGCATCCCCAACCCTGGCATAAATCTGGGATTCTGAGGGGTTCCTAAGCTGCAAGATCTTATCCCCCGGCAAGGGTGCGACTCTTGTAGACATGTACGCTACCTGGGGGGGGGGAGGTGAATACAAAAAAACCCCACTAGTGGTCCCACAAAGGGTACAAATCTTTGAAAGCTTTCAGGAAAAGTGTACCCCCCCCCGCCCTCCCCCACAAGCTCCAACATCCAATAGTGAGGCCGGGATGGGTGTGGGGAGGCTCCAGTAAAGCTGTAAAAGGGGGAGGCAGGAACGGCGAGATTCCCCATCACCCCTTTTTCCATTGGCCATTACCTCTACAACTTGATTGTACAATCCAATCACACAGGCCTTTGCGTTACATAGTCAGTGGTGGATCTGAAGGAGATTGTACAATCAGATTGTATAGTGTGGTGTCAGTCTAAAGCTGGCCAAACTCTCTGCCAGCCATTCTCAACTGGGGTGCCGCCTGAAGTCCTCAGGGGTGAGGCATCAAATCAGAGCTGAGCTCCTCTGCCGAACATTGCTACACGGACAGCTCAGCCAAGACGGTATTGTGTAGATCAGAGGAAGGGGGAGGCGCCTTTCAGAGGAGGGGGGAAGGGGTCTTCCAGAGGAAGGGGAAGGCGTCTTCCAGAGGAGGGGGAGGTGACTTCCAGAGGAAGGGGGAGGCGTCTTCCAGAGGAAGGAGGAGGCGTCTTCCAGAGGAGGGGGGAAGGCATCTTCCAGAGGAGGGAGGAAGGCGTCTTCCAGAGGAGGGGGGAAGGCGTCTTCCAGAGGAAGGGGGAGGCGTCTTCCAGAGGAAGGGGGAAGGCGTCTTCCAGATAAGGGGGGAAGGCGTCTTCCAGATGAGGGGGGAAGGCGTCTTCCAGAGGAGGGGGGAGGCGTCTTCCAGAGGAAGGGGGAGGCGTCTTCCAGATAAGGGGGGAAGGCGTCTTCCAGAGGAGGGGGGAGGCGTCTTCCAGATAAGGGGGGAAGGCGTCTTCCAGATAAGGGGGGAAGGCGTCATCCAGAGGAGGGGGGAAGGCGTCTTCCAGAGGAGGGGGGAAGGCGTCTTCCAGAGGGAGGGGGGAAGGCGTCTTCCAGACTGAAGGGGAAGGCGTCTTCCAGAGGAGGGGGGAGGCGTCTTCCAGAGGAGGGGGTAAGGCGTCTTCCAGAGGGAGGGGGGGAGGCGTCTTCCAGAGGAGGGGTGAGGCGTCTTCCAGAGGGAGGGGGGAAGGCGTCTTCCAGAGGGAGGGGGGAAGGCGTCTTCCAGAGGGAGGGGGGAAGGCGTCTTCCAGAGGAGGGGGGAAGGCTTCCTCTGGTGTAAGACTGAAGGGGGCGCTGTAGGGGGGATTCTAATGCTTTTCCTCTCCTTTCCTCCTGCACAGGTGGAGCTCCGCCATGCGTAAGAAGAGGTTCCTGTTGCTGTACGGGACGCAGAAGGGACAGGCGCAGGCTATCGCCGAGGAAATCGCCCAGCAGGCCGAGCAGCATGGCTTCCTCGCCAATGTCTTCTCCTTACAAGACCTGGAGAAGGTGAGCCGTCCCCCCCCCCCCCCCCCCCGTGTGTGTCCCCCGTGTGGTGTGTGTCCCCCGTGTGGTGTGTGTCCCCCGTGTGGTGTGTGTCCCCCGTGTGTGTGTCCCCCCCGTGTGGTGTGTGTCCCCCGTGTGTGTCCCCCGTGTGTGTGTGTCCCCCGTGTGGTGTGTGTCCCCCGTGTGTGTCCCCCGTGTGTGTGTGTCCCCCCCATGTGTGTGGGCCGGTCGTAGTTCCGACTCCCGTGTTCTGTCCCGCTGGTCTGGGGTGCTGCACTGTGGGCCCCCTGTTCTCATAACTCCTGCATAGTCTGTGGCGCTGTACAATGGGCAGGTGAGAATGGGGGGGGGGGCTGTGAGGTTGGCTGTGTGGGGCCCCCGTGGTTTCTAACAGCAGAGAAAAGTGCTGAGAAGTACAACATGAAGAACAACTGAAGAGCTCCATCTCAGCTGCTGGTATGTCGGGTCGTTTCGATGTCTCAGATGTCCATGTGGAATTTGGGACTCCAAAAATAGTCACCAAAAATGGTGTGTGGGGGAGGGGAGGTCACTGCACCGCTGGTTTTACTTGCAGGTCTTCCAGTATTGGATTTACCCAACATTACCCCCTTTCTGATTTTTATTGGTGGGTTTTGCAATCCTGATTAGTCCTCAGATCAGTCCCTGAGTCATTGTAAGGATTTGATGGCATGGGCTGCACTCTACTCCCCCTCTGTGGTCAGTGGGAAGAATGTTCCTTACATTGGGGGTCAGTGGGAAGAATGTCCCTTACATTGGGGGTCAGTGGGAAGAATGTCCCTTACATTGGGGGTCGGTGGGAAGAATGTCCCTTACATTGGGGGTCAGTGGGAAGAATGTCCCTTACATTGGGGGTCAGTGGGAAGAATGTCCCTTACATTGGGGGTCAGTGGGAAGAATGTCCCTTACATTGGGGGTCAGTGGGAAGAATGTCCCTTACATTGGGGGGTCAGTGGGAAGAATGTCCCTTACATTGGGGGGTCAGTGGGAAGAATGTCCCTTACATTGGGGGGTCAGTGGGAAGAATGTCCCTTACATTGGGGGTCAGTGGGAAGAATGTCCCTTACATTGGGGGTCAGTGGGAAGAATGTCCCTTACATTGGGGGTCAGTGGGAAGAATGTCCCTTACATTGGGGGTCAGTGGGAAGAATGTCCCTTACATTGGTGGTCAGTGGGAAGAATGTCCCTTACATTGGGGGGTCAGTGGGAAGAATGTCCCTTACATTGGGGGGGATCAGTGGGAAGAATGTCCCTTACATTGGTGGTCAGTGGGAAGAATGTCCCTTACATTGGGGGTCAGTGGGAAGAATGTCCCTTACATTGGGGGGTCAGTGGGAAGAATGTCCCTTACATTGGGGGTCAGTGGGAAGAATGTCCCTTACATTGGTGGTCAGTGGGAAGAATGTCCCTTACATTGGGGGTCAGTGGGAAGAATGTCCCTTACATTGGGGGTCAGTGGGAAGAATGTCCCTTACATTGGTGATCAGTGGGAAGAATGTCCCTTACATTGGTGGTCAGTGGGAAGAATGTCCCTTACATTGGTGGGTCAGTGGGAAGAATGTCCCTTACATTGGGGGTCAGTGGGAAGAATGTCCCTTACATTGGTGGGTCAGTGGGAAGAATGTCCCTTACATTGGGGGTCAGTGGGAAGAATACCCCCTCACAGACAGCTAAAAAAGATCCTCGGTGTCATGCAGCTGGCTCTGCCAAGTGGTGGTGGCACCATCAAATTGGAGGTCATCAAGCCACAGCTGAAGGAACCCCTAGAAGCCTCTGGAGGAACCCCTAGAAGCCTCTGGAGGAACCCCTAGAAGCCTCTGGAGGAACCCTAGAGTTCATGGAACCCTGTCTGGGAATGGCTGCTCTACATTATTAGGTGTGATGTGTTTGCAGTTCCCCTATAAACCGATTCCATATAAATGTGGATTGTTGGCTGAACATGTCCATCATCTGATATCTAAGGACCCCTCCAGGGAGCGGACTGACAACTCATGGGGCCCCGGGCAATAGAGGTATCATGGGACCCCTGTGTCCTTGCCCACACTCAAACTACACCCAAAAAAGCCTATAAAAGGTATTAGGGGCATCTCATGGGGCCCCCTACTGACCCCAGGCCCTCGGGCACTGCCCGAGTTCTCGAATGGTCATTCCGCCCCTGGACCCCTCCCCACTATTCTAGTTTGGTCATGTAGGACTTTATCATGTATGGAGATCCTATTGAGCACCTCTTACATTTTGTATTTCAGTTCTGCCTGGAGGAGGAGAGAGATCCTGTAGTCATCGTGATCTCCACTACGGGAAGCGGAGAACCCCCGGAACCCGCAGCAAAATTTGTGAGAGAAATCCAATACAAAGAACTCCCGGCGGACTACTTGGCCCAGCTGCGATATGGATTATTGGGTAAGTGTCCCACACACGACATCTGACCGTATGAAAACTTGTGTGTCCGCGGCAGCTGCTTTACCTGCCGAAGGATTTGTATCCCTGTCCATCCAGTTCTGAGATTTACATAGCTCTGCCTTACAGTACAGCCCTGTCTGAGCAGACAGGAGACCTGATCTATCTCTGTTGCAGTTCAGTAGGGCTTACAGGTCTTATCCCTCCTCCAACCTGTGACTGGGCAAAAGAAACAGCAAATCTCTGTTACTCTGCTCTCTACCCCTGTCAGCACCCAATGGGATGCCTGATGGGATGGTTTTGGTCTTGTTGGCAGCCTGTGGACAACTGTCTGCAGCCAAACTTCCACCTCACGGCAAAGTCACCTTATATACGGGGGTCCTGCTACCTAAAACATTGCATACAACTACCTGTGGGTGGAAAAATTGATAATATTTTCACCCTTCTCCCAACTTCCATAGTGCAGGAGGTGACGTCATCCCGCTGGCAGCAAAATCCCCAGGAATGCCGAGTAGCCGAAACCTCATAAGAAGACAGTGCAGGTCGATATTTGGACTACTGAACATTCATCAAAATCGCCACCTTTGCCCAGGCACCATGGGAGGGAAGGGGATGTCACCACCCTTGCCTAGGCACCATGGTAAGGAAGGAGATGTCGCCACCCTTGCCCAGGCACCATGGGAGGGAAGGGGATGTCACCACCCTTGCCTAGGCACCATGGTAAGGAAGGAGATGTCGCCACCCTTGCCCAGGCACCATGGGAGGGAAGGGGATGTCACCACCCTTGCCCAGGCACCATGGGAGGGAAGGGGATGTCACCACCCTTGCCCAGGCACCATGGGAGGGAAGGGGATGTCACCACCCTTGCCCAGGCACCATGGGAGGGAAGGGGATGTCACCACCCTTGCCCAGGCACCATGGGAGGGAAGGGGATGTCACCACCCTTGCCCAGGCACCATGGGAGGGAAGGGGATGTCACCACCCTTGCCCAGGCACCATGGGAGGGAAGGGGATGTCACCACCCTTGCCCAGGCACCATGGGAGGGAAGGGGATGTCACCACCCTTGCCCGGACACCATGGGAGGGAAGGGGATGTCACCACCCTTGCCCAGACACCATGGGAGGGAAGGGGATGTCGCCACCCTTGCCTAGACACCATGGGAGGGAAGGGGATGTCGCCACCCTTGCCTGGACACCATGGGAGGGAAGGGGATGTCGCCACCCTTGCCTGGACACCATGGGAGGGAAGGGGATGTCACCACCCTTGCCTAGACACCATGGGAGGGAAGGGGATGTCACCACCCTTGCCCAGGCACCATGGGAGGGAAGGGGATGTCACCACCCTTGCCCAGGCACCATGGCTTGTTGCCTATCATCAGTGCAGTGTATGAAAATCAGGCTTGTTGACCATCATCAGTGCAGCGTATGTAGACCAGGCTTGTTTGCCATCAGCAGTGCAGTTTATGGAGACCATGGCTTGTTAACCATCATCACTGCAGGGTATGAAAACCAGCCTTGTTGGCCATCATCAGAGTACTCTGTGGAAACCAGGCTTGTTGGCCATCATCAGTGCATCGTATGGAAACCAGGCTTGTTGGCCATTATCAGAGTACTGTGTGGAAACCAGGCTTGTTGGCCATCATCAGCGTACTGTCTGGAAACCAGGCTTGTTGGCCATCATCAGCATACTGTGTGGAAACTAGCCTTGTTGACCGTTATCAGAGTACTGTGTGGAAACTAGCCTTGTTGGCCATCATCAGCGTACTGTGTGGAAACCAGGCTTGTTGACCATCATCAGCATACTGTGTGGAAACTAGCCTTGTTGACCGTTATCAGAGTACTGTGTGGAAACCAGGCTTGTTGACCATCATCAGCGTACTGTGGAAACCAGGCTTGTTGGCCATCATCAGCGTACTGTGTGGAAACCAGGCTTGTTGGCCATCATCAGCGTACTGTGTGGAAACCAGGCTTGTTGACCATCATCAGAGTACTGTTTGGAAACCAGGCTTGTTGGCCTTCATCAGAGTAGTGTATGGAAATCAGGCTTGTTGGCCATCATCAGTGCAACATATAGAAACCAGGCTTGTTGGCCATCATCAGTGCAGCGTATGGAAACTATGACTTGTTGGCCATCATCAGTGCAGAGTATGGAAACTATGACTTGTTGGCCATCATCAGTGCAGAGTATGGAAACTATGACTTGTTGGCCATCATCAGTGCAGTGTGTGGAAACCAGGATTGTTGGCCCCCACCAGTACAGTGTATGGAAACCATGGCTTCTATGAGTTAGGCATGGAACCCAATAAGATGGTATAACTATACAGGTATTGGTGAGAAAAGACTAAAGGAATCAAAAAGTCTTCCAACCCAATCAGTACGTAGAACAGTAAAGCCTTCTTAGAACAGAAGATATTCACAGGTTGCATTTCATTAGATTTCCAAAAACCTAAGGATTAGGACAGTGGGTGGAGCCCCGAAAATCATTGCCAATGCATCCCGTCAGCCAAATACACATTGAGAATGGCTGGGGTGGGGTGCAAATATAGCCTCATCAAGCCTTTTATACCGACTGCTGCACACACCTGTTTCTGGCTTGTTGGCCCTCATCAGTGCAGTGTATGGAAACCAGCCTTGTTGGCCATAATCCGATTACTGTGTGGAAACTAGGCTTGTTGGCCATCATCAGAGTACTGTGTGGAAACCAGGCTTGTTGGCCATCATCAGAGTACTGTGTGGAAACCAGGCTTGTTGGCCATCATCAGAGTACTGTGTGGAAACCAGGCTTGTTGGCCATCATCAGAGTACTGTGTGGAAACCAGGCTTGTTGGCCATCATCAGAGTACTGTGTGGAAACCAGGCTTGTTGGCCATCATCAGAGTACTGTGTGGAAACCAGGCTTGTTGGCCATCATCAGAGTACTGTGTGGAAACCAGGCTTGTTGGCCATCATCAGAGTACTGTGTGGAAACCAGGCTTGTTGGCCATCATCAGAGTACTGTGTGGAAACCAGGCTTGTTGGCCATCATCAGAATAGTGTATGGAAACCAGGCTTGTTGGCCATCATCAGTGCAACATATGGAAACCAGGCTTGTTGGCCATCATCAGAGTACTGTGTGGAAACCAGGCTATGGAAACCATGGCTTCTGTAGAGTAAGGCATGGAACCCAACGAGGAAGTATAACCATTCAGGTAATGGAATCAAAGTGAATTTGAACATTTTTAGAAATGTATGTCGTAATGTTTGCCCGTCTGATTTATTTCAATGGACGGAAAGTCCAGCGCTAGGTTCAGGTCTTCTGGTGAAGCCACATTTTGGTTTATTTTCCTGCTTTGCAGCTCTCGGAGACTCTGAATTTACCTTCTTTTGCAACGGTGGAAAAATTGTGGACAGAAGACTCCAAGAACTTGGCGCAAAACACTTCTACGACACCGGATATGCCGATGATTCTACTGGGTGAGTGGGTTCCTAATTAGAAGGGGCCCTGACGTGGAGGATCCTATTGGGTGAGAGGAATCCTTTATAATTAGGGGGCTCCTGAAGTGAATGACCCTATTGGGTGAGAGGAGTCCTTTATAATTGGGGGGCTCCTGAGGTGGATGACCCTATTGGACGAGAGGAATCCTTTATAATTAGGGGGCTCCTGAGGTGGATGACCCTATTGGGTGAGAGGAGTCATTTATAATTAGGGGGCTCCTGAGGTGGATGACCCTATTGGGTGAGAGGAATCATTTATAATTAGGGGGCTCCTGAAGTGAATGATCCTATTGAGTGAGAGGAATCCTTTATAATTAGGGGGCTCCTGAGGTGGATGACCCTATTGGGCGAGAGGAATCATTTATAATTAGGGGGCTCCTGAGGTGGATGACCCTATTGGGTGAGAGGAGTAATTTATAATTAGGGGGCTCCTGAGGTGGATGACCCTATTGGACGAGAGGAATCCTTTATAATTAGGGGGCTCCTGAGGTGGATGACCCTATTGGGTGAGAGGAGTCCTTTATAATTAGGGGGCTCCTGAGGTGGATGACCCTATTGGGTGAGAGGAATCCTTTATAATTTGGGGGCTCCTGAGGTGGATGACCCTATTGGGTGAGAGGAGTCATTTATAATTTGGGGGCTCCTGAGGTGGATGACCCTATTGGGTGAGAGGAATCATTTATAATTAGGGGGCTCCTGAGGTGGATGACCCTATTGGGTGAGAGGAGTCATTTATAATTAGGGGGCTCCTGAGGTGTATGACCCTATTGGGTGAGAGGAGTCATTTATAATTAGGGGGCTCCTGAGGTAGATGACCCTATTGGACGAGAGGAATCCTTTATAATTAGGGGCTCCTGAGGTGGATGACCCTATTGGGTGAGAGGAGTCATTTATAATTTGGGGGCTCCTGAGGTGGATGACCCTATTGGGTGAGAGGAGTCATTTATAATTAGGGGCTCCTGAGGTGGATGACCCTATTGGGTGAGAGGAATCCTTTATAATTAGGGGGCTCCTGAGGTGGATGACCCTATTGGGCAAGTGGAATCATTTATTAGGGGCCCTTAGCACAGGGATTATTCTAGCAGGTGGGTGGAATAATTTATTGTTAGGGGCCCTTGACACATGGATGATCCTGTTGGGTGAGTCGAATAATTTTGAAAAAAAATATTTTTCTTATAACATTTTGCAAATAAATAATCTTTCTTCATAAATCTTGGCCAAAATGTATTCAGTTATCTCTTTCTCTCTGTCTGCATTCTTGCAGCCATTGAGAAATACTGTGAGAGCTGTGATTGGTCACAGCTTGTCACATGGTACAAGGCTGCTGTGAATGGCTCTGTACCATGTGATCTCTGTGATTGTTCACAGATTTCACACGTAGTAAGCAATGATGTCAGGAAGTGACACCTTGCTTACTATCATTCATGTGATCACTGATTGGCCAATCAGTGATCACACGATCAGGACCTCACACAGGTCCTGTCCGATGATCGGTGTTCTGCTGAGGACACAGCAGGCATCGGATCGGGGTGCCACGCGCTCCCAGGGAGCACGCTCAAGCTGAAAATGCGGGCGCCGTTTATGAACGGCAATCCGCCCCTGGACTGCCACCGTCTGGCCGTTTATATACATGAGCCGGACGGAAAGTGGTTAACCTCTTGGCGCCGGCCGAAACGCAAATGTGCAGCCTCCTGGTGTCTGGGCCTAGACGCTGAGCGGCCGCACATTTGCGTTTTATAGAAAAAAAACGTGCTGAGAACGCGCGCCCTGCACGCTCCCAGCACACATGTCCGGTACTCATGGAAAGGTCCCAATCTCCTCTTTCGATCGGGACCTTTCCTGATCATGTGATCGCTGTGATGGCGTGTCACGATCACATGACCCTAAACCCCGCCCCGCCTCCCGGCTTCTGAAACCCTTAAGGCGCTGGCGCCAAGGGGTTGATAGCAAAAAGTCCAAAATATTGTTTTTTTCTCAAAATTGTTGGTCTTTATTTTTATTTATAGCGCACAAAATAAAAAATCGCAGAGGCGATCAAATACCACCGAAAAAAAGCTCCGGACTGGAAGGGGGTGAAAGTGTCCGGACTGGAAGCGGGGGAAGTGTCCGGACTGGAAGGGGGGGAAGTGTCCGGACTGGAAGGGGGGGAAGTGTCCGGACTGGAAGGGGGGGAAGTGTCCGGACTGGAAGGGGGGGAAAGTGTCTGGACTGGAAGGGGGGGAAAGTGTCCGGACTGGAAGGGGGGGAAAGTGTCCAGACTGGAAGGGGGGGAAAGTGTCCGGACTGGAAGGGGGGAAAGTGTCCGGACTGGAAGGGGGTGAAAGTGTCCGGACTGGAAGGGGGGGAAAGTGTCCGGACTGGAAGGGGGGGAAAGTGTCCGGACTGGAAGGGGGGGAAAGCGTCCGGACTGGAAGGGGGGGAAAGCGTCCGGACTGGAAGGGGGGGAAAGTGTCCGGACTGGAAGGGGGGGAAAGTGTCCGGACTGGAAGGGGGGGGAGTGTCCGGACTGGAAGGGGGTGAAAGTGTCCGGACTGGAAGGGGGGGGGGAGTGTCCGGACTGGAAGGGGGGGGAAAGCGTCCGGACTGGAAGGGGGGGAAAGCGTCCGGACTGGAAGGGGGGGAAAGCGTCGGACTGGAAGGGGGGGGGTGTCCGGACTGGAAGGGGGGAAAGTGTCCGGACTGGAAGGGGGGGAAAGTGTCCGGACTGGAAGGGGGGGAAAGTGTCCGGACTGGAAGGGGGGGAAAGTGTCCGGACTGGAAGGGGGGAAAGTGTGTCCGGACTGGAAGGGGGTGAAAGTGTCCGGACTGGAAGGGGGTGAAAGTGTCCGGACTGGAAGGGGGTGAAAGTGTCCGGACTGGAAGGGGGTGAAAGTGTCCGGAAAAAGTGTCCGGACTGGAAAGTGTCCGGACTGGAAGGGGGTGAAAGTGTCCGGACTGGAAGGGGGTGAAAGTGTCCGGACTGGAAGGGGGTGAAAGTGTCCGGACTGGAAGGGGGTGAAAGTGTCCGGACTGGAAGGGGGTGAAAGTGTCCGGACTGGAAGGGGGTGAAAGTGTCCGGACTGGAAGGGGGGAAAGTGTCCGGACTGGAAGGGGGTGAAAGTGTCCGGACTGGAAGGGGGAGGGGAAAGTGTCCGGACTGGAAGGGGGAGGGAAAGTGTCCGGACTGGACTGGAAGTGGGGAGGGGGAGGGGAAAGTGTCCGGACTGGAAGGGGGAGGGGAAAGTGTCCGGACTGGAAGGGGGGGGAAAGTGTCCGGACTGGAAGGGGGTGAAAGTGTCCGGACTGGAAGGGGGGGAAAGTGTCCGGACTGGAAGGGGGGGAAAGTGTCCGAACTGGAAGGGGGGGAAGGGGGGGGGGGAGGAATCCTATGGAGGGGGAGGGTTAATGAAAGCCAATCCAAGTTGCACCCATCCAAAGTTGCATCAAAGGTGCGCTCCAAAGTCGTAGAACTTTGGAGTCCTATTATTGTGACTTTTCCAAGGTAATATCTGGCTTTGCGCAGACGTTTGGTGCGCACAAAGCGGCTTCGTGTAATTCGCGGTTATTCAGGAATATATTTAACCCTTTTGCGCCCATTGATCAGCTTTTTGTGGATTGACTAAAGTGGCCGACTGTCTTGTTTTTTTTTCCTTCAGCCTGGAGCAGGTGGTGGACCCGTGGATAGAAGGACTGTGGGCCGCGCTCAATGAAGAATTCGCAAAGAGGTCGGGCGACCCGGAGAAGATGGAGGAGACGAAGAGCGCGGGCGACCCGGAGGAGACGAAGAGCGCGGTCGGCGATCAGAATGCGCAAAACGTCCCGGAAAATCTGGACCTGCAGATGAAAGCCATAAACCTGGACTCCTCGCCGACGCCAAGCACTGCGCCTGCGAAAGGTGATGCGTCAGATGCGTCCGCGGAAGCTGCGCCGTCCCTCCTCCGCTCGGTCCCCCCTCTCTGCCAGTGCAGCCTCACCGTGCCCAGCCTGCCCGTCCCGTACCTGGAAGTACAGATTCTAGACTGCGATGGAAAGGTGACTTTTCTTCCAGGATTTTATTGACGCGACCGCCTACAATGTATCAAAATGACACATTTTATTTGTCAGCTTGTTTGGCATCGGGATCCATTGTATACAAAAACCTTCTCACCCCGGGGGGACCCTCTAAATCTTGGGGTCTCATGGAACCCTTCAAAGCATGTCCAGCCGTTGTCAGTGGCTGGATGGTGCCACCACTGGGGCAAGTGCCCGTACCCGGTCCACGCGTGTGCCCACCGCACCCTCAGAGCCACGGCTTCCTTTGTCCTTAGACAGTGGAGGGCATTGGCTGAAAGCACAGAGCTGATCAGAGTGGCTCTGTACCATGTGATTGCTGTGATTACCGATGTGAACACCGTAGTACTGTTTACATTAAATCTTCCGGCTGCAGCGGAGGAAGGAGCGATAGTAGGTCGGGGGAGCGATCGTAGGTCGGGGGGTGGGAGGAGCGATAGTAGGTCGGGGGGGGGGGGAGGAGCAATCGTAGGGGGGGTGGGGGGTTAAAGACAACGATCACCAATGTTGTGGAATTGTTTGGGGGGATTTAAAATGGCGCAATGACAGATCTTAGCAATGCAATCTTCCACTGGCCACCGATAATTGTGGGATTGTTTTGGAAGGAGGTGGACATCTGAAGTGTTTTGGGTTTATCTATGACTCCTAGAAGGACCCCTTTATGTTGGAGGTCAGTGTGGAAGGACCCCTCTATGTTGGAGGTCAGTGTAGAAGGACCCCTCTACATTGGAGGTCAGTGTGGAAGGACCCCTCTACGTTGGAGGTCAGTGTAGAAGGACCCCTCTATGTTGGAGGTCAGTGTAGAAGGACCCCTCTACGTTGGAGGTCAGTGTAGAAGGACCCCTCTATGTTGGAGGTCAGTGTAGAAGGACCCCTCTATGTTGGAGGTCAGTGTAGAAGGACCCCTCTACGTTGGAGGTCAGTGTAGAAGGACCCCTCTACATTGGAGGTCAGTGTAGAAGGACCCCTCTATGTTAGAGGTCAGTGTAGAAGGACCCCTCTATGTTGGAGGTCAGTGTGGAAGGACCCCTCTACGTTAGAGGTCAGTGTGGAAGGACCCCTCTATGTTGGAGGTCAGTGTGGAAGGACCCCTCTATGTTGGAGGTCAGTGTGGAAGGACCCCTCTATGTTGGAGGTCAGTGTGGAAGGACCCCTCTATGTTGGAGGTCAGTGTGGAAGGACCCCTTTATGTTGGAGGTAAGTGTAGAAGGACCCTTTTAAGTTGGAGGTCAGTGTAGAAGGACCCTCTACGTTGGAGGTCAGTGTAGAAGGACCCCTTTAAGTTGGAGGTCAGTGTGGAAGGACCCCTCTATGTTGGAGGTCAATGTAGAAGGACCCCTCTATGTTGGAGGTCAATGTAGAAGGACCCCTCTATGTTGGAGGTCAGTGTAGAAGGACCCCTCTATGTTGGAGGTCAGTGTGGAAGGACCCCTCTATGTTGGAGGTCAGTGTGGAAGGACCCCTCTATGTTAGAGGTCAGTGTGGAAGGACCCCTCTATGTTGGAGGTCAGTGTGGAAGGACCCCTCTACATTGGAGGTCAGTGTGGAAGGACCCCTCTACGTTGGAGGTCAGTGTAGAAGGACCCCTTTACATTGGAGATGAGTGTAGAGAGACCCGTTTATGTTTGTGATCAGTGTAGAAGGACCCCTCTACATTGGAGGAGAGTGTAGAAGGACCCCTCTACACTGGAGGTGAGTGTAGAGGGACCCCTCTACGTTGGAGGTCAGTGTAGAAGGACCCCTCTACGTTGGAGGTCAGTGTAGAGGGACCCCTCTACGTTGGAGGTCAGTGTAGAGGGACCCCTTTACATTGGAGGTCAGTGTGGAAGGACCCCCTCTACATTTGTGGTAAACAAAAGACCCCTCATTGCTCATGGAACCCCCTAGAAACTTCTGGAGGAATCCTGGGGGAGAAAGCCTGGTATCCAGTCTCCTTAAAGACGTTTTGTAAATGCGTCAACTAATAACCATCACAGCTATAGGCTTTCCCTGCCATCTGCTGCTTTTTTGCTCTTCCGCATGGGGGGGGGATGGGGCGAGATTTTCAGAGCTGACATCAGTCCCTGTACTGCGCTTAATGTGAAAGAACACATCCTGACACCCCATTTAGATGTGCATGATCAGATTTTAGCTGAGCAGTCTCAAGCAAAGGATTTCCCAGAACACCTACCGGCCAGCCTGCAAAACCACCAAACTGATCCTGTCTAACAATGTACGTCAGAAGCAGAGGGTTTCATTTGCGCACATTTGCTGCAGTGCCCACGCCAAGGCTCCTCTGTATACTGCGGTCCGAACTCTGTCGTTTCCACAGTCTGCAAAGTCGGAGCACGTATAGCAATGAATGGATTGGGGGCCGGTGTGCCTGGAGCCCATCCCTCCTTAACCACCTGCCAACCGCACTATGTCTGAATGATGGCTACAGCGCGGTTGTCCAGTCCTGGGAGGGCGTCATATGGCGTCCTCTCAGAACACACCTTCCCCGCACACCCCCGAGGGAGCACACCCAGCGATCTCCGTGATCACTGTGTCCTATGGACAAAGCTGATCACGTGATGTGGTAAAAGGCCAATCACAGCGTCCTTTTACCACACGATCAGCCGTGTCCAATGACAACGCAGATCACTGGGAAATCCAGTTGCCGGTTATTGGCTGCACTTTGCTCGCACTTTCACAGCGCGAGGAAAGTACTGCCGATGATGATCAGTGCCCAGCAGTGCCGCCCACCTGTGCCCACCAGTGCCACCTATCAGTGCCCAGCAGTGCCACCCACCTGTGCCCACCAGTGCCACCTATCAGTGCCCAGCAGTGCCACCCACCTGTGCCCACCAGTGCCACCTATCAAGGCCCACCAGTGCCCAGCAGTGCCACCTATAAGTGCCCACCAGTGCCGTCCACCAGTGCCCAGCAGTGCCACCTATAAGTGCCCAGCAGTGCCACCTATCAATGCCCACCAGTGCCACCCACCAGTGCCACCTATTAGTGCCCAGCAGTGCCGCCCACCTGTGCCCACCAGTGCCACCCATCAGTGCCCAGTAGTGCCGCCCACCTGTGCCCACCAGTGCCGCCCACCAGTGCCACCTGTCAGTGCCCAGCAGTGCCGCCCACCTGTGCCCACCAGTGCCACCCATCAGTGCCCAGTAGTGCCGCCCACCTGTGCCCACCAGTGCCACCTATCAATGCCCACCAGTGCCGCCCACCAGTGCCACCTATCAATGCCCACCAGTGCCGCCCACCAGCGCCACCTATCAGTGCCCAGCAGTGCTGTCCACCTGTGCCCACCAGTGCCACCTATCAATGCCCACCAGTGCCGCCCACCAGTGCCACCTATCAATGCCCACCAGTGCCGCCCACCAGCGCCACCTATCAGTGCCCACCAGTGCTGTCCACCTGTGCCCACCAGTGCCACCTATCAATGCCCACCAGTGCCGCCCACCAGTGCCACCTATCAATGCCCACCGGTGCCGCCCACCAGTGCCACCTATCAGTGCCCAGCAGTGCTGTCAGTCAGTGCAGCCTCATCTACGCACATCAGTAAAGGAGAAACATGACCTGTTTGCAAAATGTTTTTGGTTTGTTTCTTAAAAAATAAAAAAGGCGATCAAATACCACCGAAAGAAAGCTCTATATGTGGGGGGGATAAAAAGGACGTAAATTTCAGCGTTGCATGACCGCGCAATTGTAACGCAGCGCCGTATCGCAAAAAAATAACCTGGTCAGGAAGGCGGGGAGATAAATCCTGTGGGAGGGCAGGTGACCCTGTCTAACAAAAGGATTTTGTTTGCACACGTTTGCAAATGTATGAGTGTGTCGCAGTGCCCACGTCTAGGTTCCGCTGTTTAGCTGAGCGATCTGCCGAACAGTTGACGGTTGTTCGGTTACACTGATGTTCGAGTGTCACCAAACAAATGATCAGCAAACAGAATGGCTAATGTCTGCAGCACCCAGCGGCCAGCAGGAAGGAGCATGCACGTCTAAAGGGATGTCGAGGATTTGTTCTTTCATGTAATGCTTAAGGTCGGTGCTGTGATTTTTTTTTTTTTTTTTTTTTTCTATAGGAGCCTGCCAGCCCCACCCACCAAACCTGATAGGAGCAAAGACCAGCCTTCGAGTGCAGTGCCGACTTCTCTGGTCTGGTGCTGGGACTCTGATATCTGGGAGCTGCACTGGATGCCGGAGATTATTTGTGTTTTCTGTGATCCCAAATGACGTAGTTTTTTTCTCTGATCGCAGGAAGCCGACCCCTCCTCGTGTTATCCGGGAGAAACCGTTTTCAGAGTCCCCATCACTCGGGCGAGGCGTCTGACGGCAGAAGGCGCGGTGAAGACGGCGGTGATGCTGGAGCTGGACGTAGCGGTGGGTTTATTATTCTGTTCTCTCACGGGATCGATCTCCTGCAGAGCGAGTGCGGGGGGGGGGGGGGGCTTATGTCCGTTTTATACAGCACCATTGACCTCGCTACTTTCCCCTACTGGATATCTGGGGGCTCCGGGAGACCCTGGGATGTGTTAGGGGCCCCGGGGGGCTTATCAGGAGACCCTGTGGCATGCTAGGGACCCCAGGGCTTATCAGGGGACTCTGGGGTATGTTAGAGACCGCAGGGAATGTTGGGGACCCCGGTGCTTATCAGGAGACCCTGGGATGTGTTGGGGACCCCGGGGCTTATCAGGAGACCCTGGGACATGTTGGGGGACCCCGGTGCTTATCAGGAGACCCTGGGACATGTTGGTGACCCCGGGGCTTATCAGGAGACCCTGGGACATGTTGGGGACCCCGGGGCTTATCAGGAGACCTTGGGACATGTTGGTGACCCCGGAGCTTATCAGGAGACCCTGGGACATGTTGGGGACCCCCGGGGCTTATCAGGAGACCTTGGGACATGTTGGTGACCCCGGGGCTTATCAGGAGACCCTGGGACGTGTTGGTGACCCCGGGGCTTATCAGGAGACCTTGGGACATGTTGGGGACCCCGGGGCTTATCAGGAGACCCCTGGGACGTGTTGGTGACCCCGGGGCTTATCAGGAGACCCTGGGACGTGTTGGTGACCCCGGGGCTTATCAGGAGACCCTGGGACGTGTTGGTGACCCCGGGGCTTATCAGGAGACCCTGGGATGTGTTGGTGACCCCGGGGCTTATCAGGAGACCTTGGGACATGTTGGGGACCCCGGGGCTTATCAGGAGACCTTGGGACATGTTGGGGACCCCGGGGCTTATCAGGAGACCTTGGGACATGTTGGGGACCCCGGGGCTTATCAGGAGACCTTGGGACATGTTGGGGACCCCGGGGCTTATCAGGAGACCCTGGGACATGTTGGGGACCCTGGGGCTTATCAGGAGACCCTGGGACATGTTGGGGACCCCGGTGCTTATCAGGAGACCCTGGGATGTGTTGGTGACCCCGGGGCTTATCAGGAGACCTTGGGACATGTTGGGGACCCCGGAGCTTATCAGGAGACCCTGGGATGTGTTGGTGACCCCCGGGGCTTATTAGGAGACCCTGGGACATGTTGGGGACCCCGGGGCTTATCAGGAGACCTTGGGACATGTTGGGGACCCCGGGGCTTATCAGGAGACCCTGGGATGTGTTGGGGACCCCGGGGCTTATCAGGAGACCTTGGGACATGTTGGGGACCCCGGGGCTTATCAGGAGACCCTGGGACATGTTGGGGACCCCGGGGCTTATCAGGAGACCTTGGGACATGTTGGTGACCCCGGGGCTTATCAGGAGACCTTGGGGACATGTTGGGGACCCCGGGGCTTATCAGGAGACCTTGGGACATGTTGGGGACCCCGGGGCTTATCAGGAGACCCTGGGATGTGTTGGGGACCCCGGGGCTTATCAGGAGACCTTGGGACATGTTGGTGACCCCGGGGCTTATTAGGAGACCTTGGGACATGTTGGGGACCCCGGGGCTTATCAGGAGACCCTGGGATGTGTTGGGGACCCCGGGGCTTATCAGGAGACCCTGGGATGTGTTGGGGACCCCGGGGCTTATCAGGAGACCTTGGGACATGTTGGTGACCCCGGTGCTTATCAGGAGACCTTGGGACATGTTGGTGACCCCGGGGCTTATCAGGAGACCTTGGGACATGTTGGTGACCCCGGTGCTTATCAGGAGACCTTGGGACATGTTGGTGACCCCGGGGCTTATCAGGAGACCCTGGGACATGTTGGGGACCCCGGGGCTTATCAGGAGACCCTGGGACATGTTGGGGACCCCGGTGCTTATCAGGAGACCTTGGGACATGTTGGTGACCCCGGGGCTTATCAGGAGACCTTGGGACATGTTGGGGACCCCGGGGCTTATCAGGAGACCTTGGGACATGTTGGTGACCCCGGGGCTTATCAGGAGACTCTGGGATGTGTTGGTGACCCCGGGCTTATCAGGAGACCCCAGTGCATGTCAGGGTATTACTTGAACAGTGAGAGAAAATCTCCCTTGGGGGTCATGGGAAGCCATAAAATCCCCGCCTTAGTTCCTAGTCCCCGAGTCCCATCCTAGGGATTATGGGATATGGTCACCTCTTTTGCGCACCCCCCAGCCTGGCCCTGCTCAGTGGCGGGGGGGCGCGGCGAGGAAACCGCAACTGAGAAGTGTGAAGGCGCATGACGCTACGCACTGCAGACATGACAGGAGTCCCTGCTCAGCTCATGCGTTTTCTTTGCAGCACACGGATATGGAACTCCAGCCTGGAGACGCCTTCTGCGTTATTTGCCCGAATCCCCCCGAGGAGGTGAGCGAGGTCCTCGATAGACTGGGATTGGCTGGGAGGAGGAGAGGTCAGCTGTGCTTGGCTGTCAGACCCGGAACAAAGAAAAGAGGTGAGATGTTCTGCAAAGAGGCGGACAGGGGGATGATCCGTGATCTACTTCCATCCATGTCTCTCCATCCATCCATCCCTCTCCATCCATCCATCCATCCATCCATGTCTCTCCATCCATCAATCCATCCATCCATCCATGTCTCTCCATCCATCAATCCATCCATCCATCCATCCATCCATCCATGTCTCTCCATCCATCAATCCATCCATCCATCCATGTCTCTCCATCCATCCATCAATCCATCCATCCATCCATCCATGTCTCTCTCCATCCATCAATCCATCCATGTCTCTCTCCATCCATCAATCCATCCATGTCTCTCTCCATCCATCAATCCATCCATCCATGTCTCTCTCCATCCATCCATCAATCCATCCATCCATCCATCCATGTCTCTCTCCATCCATCAATCCATCCATGTCTCTCTCCATCCATCCATCCATCCATGTTTCTTCATCCATCAATCCATCCATCCATCCATGTCTCTCTCCATCCATCAATCCATCCATCCATGTCTCTCTCCATCCATCAATCCATCCATCCATGTCTCTCTCCATCCATCCATCAATCCATCCATCCATCCATCCATGTCTCTCTCCATCCATCAATCCATCCATCCATCCATGTCTCTCTCCATCCATCCATGTCTCTCTCCATCCATCAATCCATCCATGTCTCTCCATCCATCAATCCATCCATCCATCCATGTCTCTCTCCATCCATCCATGTCTCCATGCCTTATTTTGTTGGAAATCACTTTTTAAAGCACTCCTCTAGCATTGGCCATCTTGAGTAAGGGCAGATGTAGCATTTACTTCCTGGAATCCACCTGCCCTTAGCTCAGGCAGGCAGGCAGGAGGGTGTGCTTAGCTGAGAAACCCCTCCCCTTCTGAAGACTCCTGAGATGTATGACATCATTTTGGCCTATGCCAGGAAGCAATGTAAAAAAAAAGTATAAAACAAGTAAATATACTTCCCTGTACAGGGACATTAGAGTGTAAGCTCCTCTGGTACAGAGACTGATGGGACTGTGGGGGAGGGGACATTAGAGTGTAAGCTCCTCTGTACAGAGACTGATGGGACTGTGGGGGAGGGGACATTAGAGTGTAAGCTCCTCTGTACAGAGACTGATGGGACTGCGGGGGAGGGGACATTAGAGTGTAAGCTCCTCTGGTACAGAGACTGATGGGACTGTGGGGGAGGGGACATTAGAGTGTAAGCTCCTCTGGTACAGAGACTGATGGGACTCTGGGGGAGGGGACATTAGAGCGTAAGCTCCTCTGTACAGAGACTGATGGGACTGTGGGGGAGGGGACATTAGAGCGTAAGCTCCTCTGTACAGAGACTGATGGGACTGTGGGGGAGGGGGCATTAGAGTGTAAGCTCCTCTGGTACAGAGACTGATGGGACTGTGGGGGAGGGGACATTAGAGCGTAAGCTCCTCTGTACAGAGACTGATGTGACTGTGGGGGAGGGGACATTAGAGTGTAAGCTCCTCTGGTACAGAGACTGATGGGACTGTGGGGGAGGGGACATTAGAGCGTCAGCTCCTCTGGTACAGAGACTGATGTGACTGCGGGGGAGGGGACATTAGAGTGTAAGCTCCTCTGGTACAGAGACTGATGTGACTGTGGGGGAGGGGACATTATAGTGTAAGCTCCTCTGGTACAGAGACTGATGTGACTGTGGGGGAGGGGGACATTAGAGTGTAAGCTCCTCTGGTACAGAGACTGATGTGACTGTGGGGGAGGGGACATTAGAGGGTAAGCTCCTCTGTACAGAGACTGATGGGACTGTGGGGGAGGGGACATTAGAGTGTAAGCTCCTCTGGTACAGAGACTGATGTGACTGCGGGGGAGGGGACATTAGAGCGTCAGCTCCTCTGGTACAGAGACTGATGGGACTGTGGGGGAGAGGGGACATTAGAGTGTAAGCTCCTCTGGTACAGAGACTGATGGGACTGTGGGGGAGGGGACATTAGAGTGTAAGCTCCTCTGGTACAGAGACTGATGTGACTGTGGGGGAGGGGACATTGGAGCGTAAGCTCCTCTGGTACAGAGACTGATGGGACTGTGGGGGAGGGGACATTAGAGTGTAAGCTCCTCTGTACAGAGACTGATGTGACTGTGGGGGGAGGGGACATTAGAGTGTAAGCTCCTCTGGTACAGAGATTGATGGGACTGCGGGGGAGGGGACATTAGAGTGTAAGCTCCTCCGGTACAGAGACTGATGGGACTGTGGGGGAGGGGACATTAGAGTGTAAGCTCCTCTGTACAGAGACTGATGGGACTGTGGGGGAGGGGACATTAGAGTGTAAGCTCCTCTGTACAGAGACTGATGGGACTGTGGGGGAGGGGACATTAGAGTGTAAGCTCCTCTGTACAGAGACTGATGTGACTGTGGGGGAGGGGACATTAGAGTGTCAGCTCCTATGATTGGGGTGCGGTTTTCCCTGGACAGACCCCCAATTCCTCATCACATGCCCAGGTTGGTTTTGGGTCTATAAATAGAAACTTCCACAATATTTGCTGCGAAGGGAAATGGAAGATCAGGAGAACATTCCGGATTTTTGGTCCGCTGTCCTGCAGACCAATGATGAGTGGGACGGATTCGTGTTTCTTCATTTTTTTTCCATTTTCTGTCCTTTAGGAGCCTGCGTTCCGGATTATATTCCGGGGAAATGTTCCGTGGAGTTCATGCTGACGTGGTGCCTCGAAATCAGAGCGACCCCCAAGAAGGTACGCGGCTTTCCCCTCAATGTCTCTGAACATTCCGTATGTTGAAGCTCGCCTCTCCTTCCATGTGGTGGCTGCATTCCTTTTCTTTGATCAGTTTCTTTTCCCACCTGGTGATCCTGCCAGTAACATTCTTGTCCCAGGGTGACACCGCTCACCCTACTGTATCTGGCGGGGGTCACCGGGTATTTTTTACACTTATTGAGCAGAAATAAAACCCTTTTATTGGTAGATTGAAGATGTAACCACTTGGCAACCGCACTATAGACGAATGGCGGTTACAGGGCGGGTGTCCAGTTCTGGGAGGGTGTCATATGACGTCCTCATATGTTATATGTTATGTGCTGCACTGTCCCAGCATGAAAGTACTGCTGAGAACCGGCAATTGTCAGAGAAGTGATCGGCACTGATCATCAGGACAGTAATAATCAGTGCCTAGCAGTGCCACCCATCAGTGCCACCCATCAGTGCTGCCCAGTAGTGCCACCAATCAGTGCCCAGTAGTGCCACCCTCAGTGCCATCAGTGCCCCCCATCAGTGCTGCCCAGCAGTGCCACCCATCAGTGCCCAAACATGCCGCCAGTTAGTGCCCAGCAGTGCCACCCTCTGCCCAGCAGTGCCGTTAGTCAGTGCCGCCTATCAGTGCAGCATCATCAATGCTGCCTCATCAGTGCCGCCTATCAGTGCCACCCATCAATGCCACCTATCAGTGCTGCCTGTCCGTGCCGCCTATCAGTGCTGCCTGTCCGTGCCACCTCATCAGTGCCACATATCAGTGCCCATCAGTGCTGCCTCATCATCACACAGCAGTGAAGGAGAGACCTGTTTGCAAAATTCTATAATAGAAATAAACGTTTTCTTTTTTTTCCAAATCTTTAGCTTTTTTTTGTTTATAGAGCAAAAAATAAACTGCCCCGCGGGGAGTAAATGCCACCAAAAGAAAGCTTTATTTGTGTGAAACAAACTATAAAAATGTCATCTGGGTACAGTGTCGCACGACCGCGCAATTGTCATTCAAAGTGCGACAGTGCTGAAAGCTGAAATGAATTGGTGTGGGCAGGAAGGGGGTATAAATGCCCGGTAGGCGAGGGGTTAAAAAACCAAATGGGACTAAAGAAAATGTGGATTTCATTGCGGTTGTGCTGTGGATGGATGGATGGATGGATGGATGGGTGGATGTCATATATGTGGTTGGGAAGGGCGCTGATCGCAGTTGAAGGGATGTGCGCATCAGTATAGGTGCAATTTTGTCGTCTCTCTCTCCACTACTGCCTTCCATTGACTTCAATCCAAAATTGCCTCCCACTGACTTCAAAAATCACCTCCCATTGACTTCAGTGCGAAAAACGCCTCCCCTTGACTTCAGTGCAAAAAACACCTCCCCTTGACTTCAGTGCAAAAACGCCTCCCCTGGACTTCAGTGCAAAAACTCTTCCCCTGGACTTCAGTGCAAAAACTCCTCCCCTGGACTTCAGTGCAAAAACGCCTCCCCTGGACTTCAGTGCAAAAACTCCTCCCCTTGACTTCAGTGCAAAAACTCCTCCCCTGGACTTCAGTGCAAACAACGCCTCCCCTTGACTTCAGTGCAAAAACTCCTCCCCTTGACTTCAGTGCAATCAACGCCTCCCCTTGATTTCAGTGCAAAAACGCCTCCCCTTGACTTCAGTGCAAAAACTCCTCCCCTTGACTTCAGTGCAAACAACGCCTCCCCTTGACTTCAGTGCAAAAACGCCTCCCCTTGACTTCAGTGCAAAAACGCCTCCCCTTGACTTCAGTGCAAAAAAACTCCCCCCTTGACTTCAGTGCAAAAACGCCTCCCCTTGACTTCAGTGCAAAAACGCCTCCCCTTGACTTCAGTGCAAAAACGCCTCCCCTTGACTTCAGTGCAAAAACGCCTCCCCTTGACTTCAGTGCAAAAATGCCTTCCCTTGACTGCAGTGCAAAAACTCCTCCCCTTGACTGCAGTGCAAAAACTCCTCCCCTTGACTGCAGTGCAAAAACTCCTCCCCTTGACTTCAGTGCAAAAACTCCTCCCCTTGACTTCAGTGCAAAAACTCCTCCCCTTGACTTCAGTGCAAAAACTCCTCCCCTTGACTTCAGTGCAAAAAACACCTCGCCTTGACTTCAGTGCAAAAACACCTCCCCTTGACTTCAGTGCAAAAATGCCTCCCCTTGACTTCAGTGCAAAGATGCCTCCCCTTGACTTCAGTGCAAAAACTACTCCCCTTGACTTCAGTGCAAAAAACCACCTCCCCTTGACTTCAATGCAAAAACGCCTCCCATTGACTTCAGTGCAAAAACGCCTCACCTTGACTGCAGTGCAAAAACTCCTCCCCTTGACTTCAATGCAAAAACGCCTTCCCAATTGTTGCTGGGCAAATTGCATGGCGTAAAGCCTGTGCCCAGCTGAAGCTCCCGCTCCTTTTTCGGGCGACCAGCTTGACGCGATGCGAATTGCCACGCAGTAAATCGCACGACAGTCGCAGCAAATCGCATTGCGTGAAGCTTGTCGCCCAGACGAAGCTCCCGCTCCTTCTTTGGGGCAAATAAGCTTCACGCGATGCAATTTGCCGCGACCGCCGCCCCAGTAAATCGCCCGACAGTCGCCGCAAAACCTCACCGCGCTGTAGGTGTCATTAAAAATAAAGACGCCTGAACCTGCATTTTGCGATTTTTAGTGCGCGTTTTGAGATTGCGGGCGGAATCGCAGTGATTGTGCTGCAGTCCCAGACCGCCCTGGTGCGAACGGGCCCAACGGAGCCGGCACCGGAGCTGCATTTGGCTGCTGAGCGCCAGTACTGAGCACACAAGCGTTTCCGTGTGCGTAACCCGAAGGAATAAAGTTGTTTTGTTTTTTTTTTTCAATAGGGCCTGCATGTTATTTACTCAGCAGATTAAAAGTGCTGGACACTCCCCTTTCCTGGTGAGCACCCAATCGTCACGTGGCAAGGTGTCTCCCCTCCCTGCTAGTCCCTGGGGGAGGAGCTGGAGACATGGGAGGAGGAGATCCCTGCTAGTCCCCAGGGGTGGAGCTAGAGACGTTAGGAGGAGATCCCTGCTAGTCTCCGGGGGCGGAGCTAGAGACAGGGGAGGAGGAGATCTGTTAGTCCCCAGGGGTGGAGCTAGAGACAGGGGAGGAGGAGATCCCTGCTAGTCCCCAGGGGCGGAGCTGGAGACGGGAGGAGGAGATCCCTGCTAGTCCCCGGGGGCGGAGCTGGAGACAGGGGAGAAGGAGATCCCTGCTAGTCCCCGGGGGTGGAGCTAGAGACAGGAGGAGGAGATCTGTTCCCAGGGGCGGAGCTGGAGACAGGGGAGAAGGAGATCCCTGCTAGTCCCTGGGGGCGGAGCTGGAGACAGGAGGAGATCCTTGCTAGTCCCCAGGGGGATGGAGCTAGAGACAGGGGAGGAGGAGATCCCTGCTAGTCCCTGGGGGGCGGAGCTGGAGACAGGGGAGGAGGAGATCCCTGCTAGTCCCCGGGGGCGGAGCTGGAGACAGGGGAGGAGGAGATCCCTGCTTGTCCCCGGGGTGGAGCTGGAGACAGGGGAGGAGAAGATCACTGCTAGTCCCCAGGGGCGGAGCTGGAGACGGGAGGAGGAGATCCCTGCTTGTCCCCGGGTGGGAGATAAAAAGCGCAATGGTAAAAAATATGAAAAGTTTAGGTCGCCATAAAGCCCCTTTCGCGTTTTAAAAGCCCCCGACGTTCCTAAAAACTCCTCCGCCAAAAAAACCCCATCAAACCGAACCAAGCACTGCGCTGCTTTAACTGGCAATTGCGCGGTCATGCAACGCTGTACCCAGATGGCATTTTATATCATATTTTTCACACAAATAGAGTTTTTTTGGTGGTATTTGATTTTTATTATTTATTATATAAACAAAAAAAGACTTAATAATAAAAAATAATAAAAAGAATTAATTAAAAAAAGAAAAAAATTTGACTTTCCGGTATTAAACATATCCAATAAAATCAAATGTCTCCATAAATTAATTCTAATACATGTTTTGATAAAAAAAAAAAAAGATTCCCAATCAGTTTATATTGATTGATTTGTGTGAAAGTTATAGTTTTTGGGTATATATTGCATTTACGCAGCTACAGGCGCTATGCTGGTAATCAAGTGGGACTGTGAAAGTGCGGCGGGCAATCTGGCGCTAGCAGACTTTGGCTGGGAGGGACAATGACTGACACTAACAGAGGGATCAGATCTGACACTGCACACTGCGGGTTGACTGCTGCGTTGACAGACAGATCTGGCTGTTTTTTTCTCCCTCCCTGCTTTTCAGGGAGAGGAAGCGGCCAGATTGCGGTTCATAGGTACGCCGAGTTCTGTGTCTCTGTAACTCTGTGCTGTCATTGGACCAATCAGCAGCTTTGATCCGGCTGAAATCTGCCACCAAACTTGTGGCGTGTCCAATCACAGCACAGGCAGGTGGCGGGAGCGCGCATGCGCGCCCCAAACCCAGAAGCAGGCCGGTCCTGACGTGTTCATGGTGCCCGGGCCTGCCGCAGTATATTTGCAGGTGGTCCTGAGCCGACCAGAACTGGTTCATGATGGAAGATTTCATACGTGATTCTGATCCCGTGTTCTGCAGGCCATGATCCGAGCTTTGGTGGAGCACACGTCTGACGCCGGGGAGCGGAGGAGGCTCCAAGAACTGTGCAGCAAGCAAGGTGGATCGGATTATAACCGCTTCGTCCGGGATCCCTCACTCGGCGTCCTGGACCTCCTCAACGCCTTTCCAAGCTGCAGGCCTCCCGCAGCATTACTGATAGGTACGTGTCGGGTGTTACCCCAAAAATAAAGGCGAGAGACTCAAAAACCTCAAAAATGATTTTTTAACACTGTATCTGTATCAGACAATTACAGTATTAAACACACGCGCACTGCCCCCTACAGACCGTAATTTAGATGTCAACTAGGAGGTCTGTCTCCCCATCGAGGTCTCCATTCCAAACCCAGAAAGTTGAGGGATTCAGAAAATCTCCATTGCTGCCCACCATACTCATACTGAAAGGTAGCATCCTCAGCAAACCCCGTCCAAGCCGCACCCCCAACCTGTTTATCCCCGCCCCCGTCCACGGGAAATATATTTTTAAATATATACTTCCAAAATATATTGACATATATTTGAGTACTGTCCGTGATACTTTTTTTATTTGCACTAACATACAATTTTGAGGACAAGCTTTCGGGGTATGTCCCCTTCTTCAAGGTCTAAGCAGTACTATTAAAAATCACAAAGTTTAAGCAGAATGTTAGAATGGATTGAGAGAAAAAAAAAAAAAAAAAAAAAAAAAAAAAAAAAAAAAAAAGGGCTACAGGTAAGATACATCAAAAGTGAGGGGGGGAGGGGGGATACAACACTCACACAGAGGGGGTCAAGTTTTAGCTAATAGATAGTCATAAAGCTGTCGGATAGTGGTTGAGGAATCCCAGGTCCAAATTAAGACCGTTATCTTACTAAGGCTCAAAGAATATTTCCACAATAATGAAAGGAATCCTAGGACAATGGAGTGCTACACAAAGAAAAAGAACAGCTGCTTCACACCTCCACAAGGACGCAACCCCAAACTGGACACCTATATTGATAGCTTCAGACTGCAAGCTACATCCCTGATATCCACCCAGCAAAAGAAAATTTCTGTACAATCTTTCACCACTAGAGCGAAGGGCTATACACGATTTGCGCAA